TCAACTCAGGTTTTGGGGATCCATAATCTATCTATAGGTATAAAAAGTAATTTCTCTACTAAAAGACAAGAGTAACAATCATAATTCAGGCTAAAGGACAATAACACAAGAAGAAAAATTGTGTCTTTCATTAGTTAACCAAAACTACAATCTGGAATAGAAGAAAGTCCATACAGACTATACAAATTGGCCTCTCATAGAGCACACAAAGCAATGTTTTCAGCTTTCTGGGAACTTGGATTTGACACTGTGATTAGTTTTTTTTTCCCGATGAAATAAATGTAACATGATACAAAACATAATGACCCTTCTTTAATTCAGAGATATTAGGATTTTTTTCCCCAGTTCCCAGCTACATAGACAAATCTTACGCAGGCAAGAGATACAGGATAACTTTATGTCTCCAGTCAAATAGAGTGAACGGGCAGCCACCAAAATTACACTGAAGTCATAATCATATTATCATTAAGATAATGCTATAGTAGATTGATTGCAATAATTGCTGCAATCAATGGCTTTCTCATATCCACAATCTTTGAAATATTACATTGCAAGATTTGCAAGAGGGGGTATCTGTTTTTTCTCCACCATTTAAATCTGTGTGGGCTATGGGATATATTTAGCCAACAAAATGTGGCAGGAATGATATTATTATGGGTTAAATTGTGTATGCCCCCCCCCCAAAATATGTGAAAGATATGATGAAGGCAGAGCAGTGTGGTACTTCCACAAGTCAAGGAATGCCAAAGATTTCTGGGAAATCACCAGAATGTAGGAATGGATTCTTCTTCCCAACCTCCTCCTTCAGAAGGAACCGAGCCTGCCAGCCCTTTGATCTCAGACTTGTAGGGCCAAAACAATGACAAAGTATATTTTGTTATTTCTTGCTTATGCCATTCATTTCATGGTGTTTTGTAGCATCCCAAGCAAACAATTTGAAAAATCTTATTAAAATCAGTCTTATATGATTGGTTTTAAACTATCATTATTACTTGCAACAAACTGACATTGAAATTAATACTCGGAATACCCTGAGCTTTTGTGTTAAACTTGAGGTATACCATCAGAACAGGATGTATTACACAGAGATGAGAAAACTCACCCCAAAGCCCCACATCATCAACAGATGTTCAAGGCTGGGAGCTCCAGAAACTTGCAAAGACACACAAAGAATTCTCCCCCCAAAATATGCACTCCCGCAACAAAAGAAACCACAGATATATAAAGGTGCAAAACTCCAGAGATAGAATACAAAAAGCTTGTTGTTAAAATGATTAATGAGCTACAGGAAGATTAAGGCGTGGATTTAGGGAGAAAATACAGGAGGTAAAAGACCACTTCAATAAAGAGATTCTGAAAAGAAACAAATCAGAACTCATGGAAATGAAAGATACAATCAATTGAAGTTTAAAAATCCAGTTGAAATTGTCTACAAAAGATTAGATTATGTAGAAAACAGAACTTCAGGTTTTGAAAACAGAACTTCCAGACAGTTTAGAAACTGCAGAAAGCAGTGAAAAAGTACAAACAAATACTGTGAGGGGAATAGAGAATAACTCTGGGACAACAAGAAGAGACCATAATTCAGAATCACTCTTCATTGAAGAGAGCATGAAGATACAAGCTAATGGCATTAAGAAATTTGGCACCTAGATACCCTTCAATAGATGAATGGGAAAAAAAATGTGGCATTTATACGCAATGGAATATTACTCAGCACTAAAAAATAACAAGATCATGGCATATACAGGGAAATGGATGGCATTAGAGCAGATTATGCTAAGTGAAGTTAGCCAATCCCTAAAAAACAAATGCCAAATGTCTTCTCTGATATAAGGGGGCGGGGGTGACTCAAAATAGAGTAGGGAGGAAGAGCATGAGAAGAAGATTACCACTATATAAGGAAGAGAGGTGGGAGGGAATGGGAGGGAGAAGGGGAATTGCACGGAAGATGGAAGGAGACCCTCATCGTTATACAAGATACATGTATGATGATGTGAGGGGGAAGGAAAAAAAAAGAGAGAGAAAGGTGTCACAGTAGACTGAGTAGAGAGAGGGGATGGGAGGGGAGTGGAGGGGCGATAGGAAGGGCAGCAGAATACAATAGACACTAGTATTGCTGCATGTATATATGTGGCCGTATGACCAATGGGATCCAGCAACCTGTACACGTGGAAAATGAGAATTCATACCCCATTTGAATCAAATGTATGATATGTCAAGATCATTGTATTGTCATGAGCAACTAATAAAAAAAAAAAAGAAATTTGGCAGTGAAGCAATTAACAGAAAAATCTCCAGACCTTAAGAATGAGATGCACATTCATATACATGATTCATAGAGGACCCATACAGTCAAGATTAACAAAACAAAACAAAAAAAACTTTCTTAGACACGTCATTATCAAATTGCCTAACAGAAAAAAAGGAGGGAATATCATAAGCCTCAAGAGAAAAATAATATATTGGCATTTAGAGGTAAACCAATAAAGATCTGACTTCTCTGCTAAGACTCTGAAATCCAGAGGAGCTTGCAATGAGGTAGTCCAAGTTCTGACAGAAAACACTTGCCAACCATCATGGCTATAACCCAAAAAGCTATGCTTCAGGACTGAAGGAGATACAAGGACTTCCTAAGATAATCGTAAACTGAAAGAATTCATGACTACTAAGCCAGCACTTCAGAAAGCACTTTAAATGAGAAGAATTTAAAAGCATTCCCCAGAGGTTTTGAATGGAAAAGCTCCCTAGAAGAGCAGATGAAGTAATGAAAACCAAGACCAGATTAAAGAGTGGAAGTAAATCAAAGGTCTGGGAATATTAAACTGCTCTTTCACAGTGACTCATAATGGAAATGGTCTCAACTCTCCAGGTGAAAGACAGACTGGCAGAGTGGTTTTAGAAAGAAGGCCCAACAATGTGTGTGTGCAAGAGACTCGTTGTACAGGCAATTACATCTCCAGGCTGAAATTAAAAGGATGGAAATAGATATCCCATGGGAACAGGGACCAGAAGCAAACAGTAGTAGCTACTCTCACATCTGACAAAGCAGATTTTGTTCAAAAATTAATCTTAGGAGACAAGGAGTTCACATCATATTGGCTAAGGGAACAATCCACCAAGAAGATTAACTATAGAAAATATTTATGCCCCACAATTTGGTGCACCTAATTTTATAAAACAAATACTTCTTGACTTTACATCTCAGATTCTAATACCTTAATATGGGGTTGTTTCAATACATCCTTCTCACCAATAGACAGTTTTTTAAAATGTGCTCCTCATATGCCCCTGTAAGTAGTCTCAAGGCTTAGGGGCCACATACTTGAACCAACCTGTGGGTCACCACAGAGAAACATATTCAGTTGGTCTCAATTGTCATCTCAAGCATGCTAGCCAATCTGACCCCAAGGAACAGCTGCTCAGCTCTCAAAACTTTTGCAGAGGTCCACTCTCTAAGAGGATGTACAGGAAGTTACATGCCATCTCTATGGGGAAGATCACATCTTGCCTACATGCCTCTGCATGTACTAAGGCCACACATAGTACAAGGCCTTTTCAAACACTACTAACATTTTTTTCACAGTTACAAATGTTACCAATGTAACTAAGTCATAGCTTTCACTTCTAAAACTAAGTATGTTGCACTCTCAAAAGTTGCATTCAATTGAACTTGTGCCCCTTATAGGACCCTTATGTTGTGTTTGATTGACATAATAGTTTCTGTGTCACTTCCAAAGCCCCTTTGCAATGATGACTTAGACTTCAGGAAGGGGATTTATTTTTGGCCTTCCAACACAAAACACAATAAGTGTCCTTGGGGGAAACATTCTTAGTCCAGGAAAGCTGAAATGATCTAGGAGGGTTTGCGACCACAGATTTCTTTGGACTCCTAAAACAACTTTTCCTGGGGCCCTAAATGACTTAGCATTGTCTCTCCTTGATAAATCGTGTGTGACCAGTTCATAAAAATATTTTTTATTTTAGCACTTTCTTTTCTGTCCACAGTCCCGACCTCCTCTGCAACATGCTGTTTGCTCAAAATATCTTTTAATATGTAAAACTTCACATTTCCTTGACTCATTCCTAATTTTTCCTTCATTGAAGATGTATGAGGTGACAGGCTTCATACCTGATGTTGAGAAGCCGGTCAAATCACATGTAGTCCTTCAATGGTGACAAAGTGGCATGCTAGAAAAAAAATAACTGCAGGTGTATGGGGATAGAGAGTTGATTAAGGCCTTATGGAAGTATAGTTGTTGACGAAGTTTTAGAAAATGTGAGGAAAGGTGTTTGAGCCAGAGCTCACACCTTGAGTAATGCGTAGGATTTGACAAGCAACAGGAAAAAGGCTACAGGCTTTGACTCAAGATGTACAAACAGTTGGAAGGAAAAAAGTCATAGAAGGCATTCTCGGAGCTGAAGTTCTTCCTCAAAGGTGAAGTTTGGGTGTCTGTGAAGAATGAAAGCATGAGTCCAAAGCATCTGACTTGGAAACACACGCAGTTTAAAAGACTCTATAGCTGAGAACACTATTAAAATGTTTTGTTAAAAGTTAAAAATCAAAGTAGAATTTGGGACAAAAAATAATTAACACCTTTACCATAGAAAATGGCTTCACTGACTCAAGTGGTGAGGTAATTGGAAAAGTTACTAAGAAACGAAGATGCCTGGAGGACAAAGCTGGGACTCAGAGGCAATTCTCCAAAGGAAGTTAAGTGTTTAGAGGGAAAATGCTCCTTGCGTTCTTGAAAGTAATGGGAGAAATTTATTTCAAAATTGCTTGTATTCCAGTGTCAGCCTGTGAAGGGAGCCCCAGAGGAAGTATTTTTGAAGGGAAGGTGCACAATGTGGTCCTCCCTGGTAGGGTGCGCCCTTGTTCAATAGGGTTGAGGGCAGAGCAGGGCGTGGCTTGTCTTGGCGTCAGTGTTGACGTTGGGGTAGACGTAAGTTTTCCCAGCAGCCCCCGGGACAATCGCGGCCCTTGAGGTTCACAGACCATGGGGGCACTAAGCAGTCGGATGATGTGGCTCAGGCGGGATCGTGCCCCAGAAGAGCCAGGTGCTGTTAGAGATGGGCAGGAGGCAGTGGAGATGGAAGCAGCAGTGGTGCAGGGGGAGGAGGAGGGTGAAGAAGCCCAACTCTCCACCAGTCAGGTAGGCCACAAGCGGAAGACAAGCCCAGGAGGGCTGCTGGCCAAAGCTCCTCGTAGGGAGAGGATCAAGGACAAGTCCAGGTCCATTTACCAGGCGCTCTTCCTGAGGGGTGAGGGCAGCGACATACAGATCCGTGCATTGGGGGAGGAGTGGAACTTACACAGGGTCTACCTGTGCCAGGCAGGGTACTTTGCTAGCATGTTCAGCGGCGCCTGGCGGGAGACACACATGAATACCATAGAGATACAGATGCCTGATGAGAACATTGATCGTGAGGCCTTGCATGAAGTTTTGGGCTCCTTGTACCGCGATTCCATGATCATCCCTCCCTGTCGAGTTGTTGCCATCCTGGCCACTGCCAGCATGCTACAGTTGGACGAGCTAATTCAACAGTGCAGGGAGATCATGAAGGACACTGTCAGTGCCCAGAGTGTGTGCAACTACTACTACTCAGCCGAGAACTATGGGCTTCAGGACATCAGAACCATTTGCCGCCAGTGGCTGTTGGACAACTTGATGACCCAGCGTAATGAGGAACTTTTGATGGAAGTCAGTCTGGATCTCATGAGAGAGCTTATTGCCTCTTCAGATCTCTTGGTGATGGAGGTGGAGATGGACATATACACCACACTGAAAAAGTGGACGTTCCTACAGCTGCAGCCCACATGGAGGGGCACCCGAAGAGCATTACTGCCCGATGCCAACTCGTGGTTTGCCAGGCATAGAGGGGAGTCAGAAGGTGCACCTTTTCTGGAGACTGAGCAGGGCAGAGCCTTCATTCCAGTGTTCCAGCAGCTGCGGCTAGCCTACATCATCTGTGATCTGCCATCCGCACACATTATTGACCAGGATGCACTGATCCCTGCCGCATGGTTGACCCCGGTATACAAAGAGCAGTGGCTAGCACTTCTTCGGGCTGAGCAGACAAAGGAGATTGGGCCTGTGGATGTCTATGTGTCTGACCTCCAAGGAAACAGCATGCGGTGTGGGGGCCAGCTCCAAAGAGATGAACAATGCAGCTGGAGGTGGGCAGGCTTTAACTTTGGCTGGGACCTGGTGGTGTGCTACAACAACCGTCGCATTGTATTCCGTCGCAGTGCACTGAACAAGTCCTGTGGTCTTGGGGTCAGCTTACTCTGGCAGAGAAAAGTTGCATTCCGCCTCCGACTTGTCTCTTTGGACAGGAATGGAAGAGCCATTTTTAGGAGGGATACAGAATATCAGATGCTTTCCCTAAGAAAGGATCAAGAACTAGAGGTAGTGAACCTAGAGAACCAAGATGTGGTCTTCCCCTTATACATGGCATGTAACTTCCTGTACATCCCCCGGGAGAGGGGCACTGCCCAGAGTGAGGACTCTTGCAAAAGCCCAGAAAGCTGAGCAGGTCTTCCCTCTGCTCAGGAGTGGGCAGTGTGCCCCAGATGCCAGCTGCCTCTATAACAAGGGGACTTGCTGATCTGTGATGATGCGCACAGGTTTTATTGAAGTGTAGGCCCTAACGCTTGAAACTGTTTACAGGGGCATAGGAGGAGCATACATTTCAAAGCCAAATCACCTCCAGAACTCAGTTGTGCTGTTAATGTGGCAACCTGTCCACCTGGTTTACCCTCCATCAACTGCCACATAATTTCTGAGAAGACAAAGACTAACGGACTTTAGAGAGAAGCTGAGCTTTACCTACTCTATTCTTCGTGGAACTCTTTAAAACATGGCTTTCCTGTAGTTCAATTAAGTGGATATTGAAGGTATATTCTGACTCCTCTTTCAGTTGGCACTTTTAGAGCTCCCATGCTCCGCTCATTAACACCACCAACACTGGTTTCATTCCTTGCCCCCCCCCTTCCCATATTTCCTGCCAATGAGTGCACTGCTTACTTTCCGTAGTTTCCCATTGCGTGTACCAATGCAGACTACACAGATGTCTTCTTCGTGTTGGTTGGTCTTCAGTGAAAGATCATCTTGATGCAAATTGGAACTTACTTTAATTTTCATAGCATAATAATCCCAGAAAGTCATTTCAAAATTTATAAAACCGTACTTTGGAACTGGGTGGTAGGAAGCAGTTTGTTCTATGAGGATATTCTTTTACTAAATACATATTTGTGTGTGGCACTGTCAAAAATTATCTTTTCACCAGAAAGTGCTCTTTAAGCAAGCTCATGGTCTTTGCTCTTCAGAATCATTTGCTTTTCAAACTGTATGTGGGGGCTAGGTGGTGGACTGGTTCATGACTACTGGTAATTTAATTACTGTCACTGCTAATTTAAATACTGTCATTCCCTTGCTCCCTCCCAAATGTCCACCTTGTTTCTTTTCATTGAGTGACTGTGGTTAAAGAATTATTTAAAACTCTGTTTAAGAATTCATACACATAATAAACATATACTTTGGAGAAGTGTAAAAATCTACACCAAGATTTACAAATAAAAAATAACTCTACAAGAGTAGCATTTTACTGATTTGAAACCAGAATTTTTTATGGGTTTATATTTCTCTTCCCAATTACATCTTTTTCCTTTTCCACCCAGTTTAGAAATTACTCTTGACCTTCTATTCATTTTTCTTTCTTAAGCAGAAATGAAAGTCCATACCAAATCTTCATACTAATGTTAGGGTAGTACTTTGATAACAGTAATAGGAAGTGTCCCTTTCAAGGTGCCCTTGATGTACCCTTTGATGTCTGCCTTAATTTTTCATTTCCTTCCTGTCATGTTCCTTTATGCTCTGTTTGCAAAAAGTAAATCTCATTTTCATGATTTTAAATACAGTTGGGAATAGTATGTAATGTTTTGTATAATGGTAAAAGTAGGTTTATGCTTTACCACTTTTACTTCCTTTATGTAAATTTTTGAAGCAATTTCATCTTACGTTTTCCTGAACTGAATACCAGGATGTCGTTCCCTCAAAAATGAGATATCCTCGCTTTTGAAATTCAGAAACTACTCAGCTGAAAGTGAACATTGGCTGAAAGGTTGCTTCTGTTTTGTTACCCAGCCAACTTTTCAGTTTATTATTGCTATTTACAGTACTAGAAAGATGTTTGATGAAGTACAATGAATGGCATCTGAAATATACACATTTAAACTCACACAAACCCTGACTGCTGTCATTTGCCAGCTTGGGGCACTTATCTAATTCTAGATACTTTAGTATCTAATACTAGATACTTACTTTTCACTTTAAGGTTTTTAAAAAAATTATTTTGACTGCTAGGTCTGAGGTAGCATGCTTCCCACATGAATGCTCATTGTTTATAGACTCTCAGTAAAGGAATGCAAAAGCAGGACAAGATATACAGTTATGGAGATTCTACACAAAGCCATCAAACTAAGTGGGAACAAAGTATATACCGCACCAATCCTTAAGAATGATCAAGATTTTTTTCCTGCCTTTGTGTTTTCCTCTCTGTTGCTACCTATCAGCATTTGTCTTGTTACCTGTCTGTCTGTGTCTGCATCCATGTCTATCTTTGTATGTCTTCATCTATTTTGCAAGTCTTTGTTTCCATCTTTCTCACCTTTATTTTCTGTGTCTGTCACTGTGTCTTTCTCCTTCTGGCAGTCTCTGCCTCTTTTTTTTTTTGTGTGTGTGTATGTGTGTGTATACACGTGTGTGTGCACACAAGCTCACATGCCCATGCTTACCTGCCTTTCTTCTTTTTAACAACAATAAGAACATACAGATTTTAATGTATGCCTAAGGCATGTACCGATTAGACTCCTATCATGGTCTCTATATGCCTACCTTTGTATCTTTCTCTTACTTCTGCCTATGTCTGCCTGTCTTTCTTTCTTGGACTTTATTTCTATCTATTTCTACCTGGTTCCTCCTGCCCCTTTTCTGTGTATACTGGTTTACCTGCCTTTAGTTTGAACAAATGGCATATATATATATATATATATATATATATATATATATATATATATATATCACCATCCATGTTTCCATCTTTCTGACCAGCTGTTTCTATTTTTTTTTTTCCACCAGGCTGACCAGTCTCCAGATGCTTCCTTCCCGGGCACCATTTTATCTCTTCTTATGGTCTCTGCTACTTTTGTTATAACCAAAGACAAATTTGTACATTCTTTGCCAGTTGTTATCACACTAATATGCCAATTGAAGATCATGTGAAAGGAGTGAATCAGTTTTAAATTTTCTGGATATTTCGTCCCACACTCCCTCCTCCCCAGGAAAACTAGAGACATTGCATGCTTAATTTTAAATGTCTGAAAGACTTTAACATTATTCTGAATACACAGGATAATTTGTCACGTGTGTTTCTGTAAGATGTTTATATAAAACAGGTATGATGGTTAATGTCAGATCCAGCATTTGTTTTAACTTAAGTGTCAGAAGAAGACCATGTAAGATATTAAAGATAATGGGAGGTTCATAAGGGGGGGGGCCATATTAGGGTTCCTTAAAGCATCATAATATGATTAATGGTAGTTGGTGAAATGATCAGGCAATTTCTACTTGACTTGATTTTGTAATATTGAGAAAATTTCTATATCAAATTGTCATTTTCATATTTTACGTAATAGTATAATCAGGTTCTCCAAATCTTTATTGCAAACAGTTATTGTCCTTTTAAAATCTGTTTCTGAGAGACACGCTAAGCATTACCACTTTATGGATTTGGCAATTTTAGTGAATTTTTGAAATGTGTATACTTTGAGCCTTCATGATTTGTATGTACAATATTTAAAGCTGCACTAAATGTACCCTGAATTCCTCCCATGATCATTTAAGAATTTAAATGTGCAGTAGATTAGACAATGGGGGTATGGAAGGGAGGTATGGGAGATAGAGAAAGAAAGACAGTTGGATGTATCTGACATAATATTCTCATGTCCATATACAACACAGTGAATCCCACCATCATGTATATCCATAAGAATGGGATTCTAACAATAATGAGATATATTCCATGCTTATATAATTATGTCACAGTGGATTCTGTCATGAATAACTAAAAACAACCAATAAATAAAAGAGACTTAAAATCATTAAATATTTGTACATAATAATTTACATTTAATCTTTCATCATGACTTTTAATCCTTCATCATGACTTAGATTTTGCTCCTTAAAGATCAAGCATATAGATCCATTCAGAATTCGTCCCAATTATTTTTATATTTGTAGTTGGTTCTGTCATCTTACATCCGCTTCCAAATTACCTGATTTTTTTTTAACTCTTTTTCTCTTGCATTAACCTTTCTTATTACTAGATTTTTGTATTTATTGCCATTGGATGGATTGAATGTTCTTTGCTGCCTTATTACTTGTAGTGGCTTGGAAGTAGGGTATGATACCATGAATACATATTTGTGCAAAGGATGACCTACCCCAAGTCAGTGTCCATTTGGACACAATTTAAGACCCCAACAGTCATTGCAAGTTAAAACTAAACTGGTTATTTAGCCTTGGAGATTGAAGGGTTGTGATAGAGCAGGAATCTAAGATCTACTGAATAGCATAAATATTCTTAATGCTTTATAATGCATAGTTTTCTTCATTTGATCATCACAAACGTGATGCCACGTATCCATTCTTATATCCTCATTGAACATGGGAAATGATTAAGTATCAGAGTGGTTAAGTTACCTTTCCAATATGACATAGTCGAAATTTCTGCATTGCGAATGTAAATCTAAGTCCCTTTTATTGAATTTCAGCAAACTCACACCACTGCACATTGTCTTCAAAGGTAGATATATAAATGGTAGCCGTACGTGGCCTTTCACATCAAGCAGTTAAATTTGCAATTTTCCTGAAGATGCACAATCACAGGAAGATGAGATTTTATAGGTCTCAAACCACAATTTTTATTACATCTGCATAAAAACTGTCACTGCCATACACTGACACAGAACCTGTCCTTCATGGATTTGTTTCAGAAAAAAAAAAAAAAAGGTAAACTAGGATGTATAACTTTCACGGGTTATGTGTCATCATTCATTCCACCTCATTGGATATCTGTGAACTGTTTATTTCTTAGAAGAGAGATGGTCTCCAGTGATTTCCAAATACATAGATATAGGAGATGTGTGAACAGTGCAACAAAAAAAATCTTGAATACTCAGAAACCTGTGTTCCTCAATATATGTTAGGCAATTTTTCCCAAACCATTCACATTCAGTGGTTTAACCAAATTCCCTGCTTAACAATCCCAGCTCTCACATGCTCACTCAGTCACTCACTCAGTCATGAGGGGCCTGAGAGCCTTAGCTTCTATATATATGCAAAGTAGCACTACTCTACCACCAGAAAAGACTTAGAGATAATAGAAGATATCATTGAACATGTGGTAAGTGCCTGAAAGTTAAGATCCATTCTGTTTCTATATACTACCATTTATAGCCTTTGTTTCTATG